CCTCTCCGTTTTACCCAGACACCCCCACCGCTGCCCCCGACCACAGCCGGGGCCTCGGTATCACCTCGTCCTCAAATTGTTTCAGGCCTCCGTCTCAGATTGTCCTTGGCAGCGGGCATTAGAGAAAATGTTTAGCCTGTTTGTTTTCATAGTAATTAGCCCGAAAACGGCCTGAAATACAGACGGCTAATGGTCCACAGAGAGCTGGGCTGTGTCAACACACCATCTGTCGATGTGTGTGTGTGTGTGTGTGCACGTGTGAATGATGTGTTCATGAGAGATTGTGTGTTTTCTGGTGTTTTTTCTCTGTCAGGAGGTGAGGAGATCAGACGTGTGAAAGTGGAAGCTCTGTGTGTGTGTGTGTGTGTGTGTGTGTGTGTGTGTGTGTGCGCGCCTGGTACAGCGTATCTTTTGGATAACACCAATTTTTTTGGACACCAATTTTTTCGTGCCCTCATGGGGACATTTTTAGATCCAAACTGAGTGTGACTGTATATTGATGTTCATAAAGGAGTTGAAGGATTAGCGTATATATATGTATATATACATATATATGTACATATATATGTATATATGTATATATTTGTGTGGTTTGAGTTAGGGTAAGGTTAAGGCAGTGTTTCCCCAAAAAAATTTTCTGGGGACCCATATTTTAAAAGTCACAAACCTTTGCGACCCACGTCAATAGACATTATTCCTAAACTCCGGGGAAACACGATGCGAGACGACTCCAAAAAAAACCTCTTGCGACCCACCTGGGGGTTGTGACCCTGACTTTGGAAAACAATGTGGTAAGGGGCCTGTGTGTGTGTGTGTGTGTGTCTGCTCAGTTACACCAGGACACAGACGTTTACCAGCGTCGCCTCAGTCTGCACGGTGACATGTCGTTTAACTGTTTTTCTATTAATTATCAGTCGGTACCAGTGTGAGAACTCGTTGCGATGCTGTGCCAGAAACAGGACGTTCTGCGTCCCGTGAAGAACTCTTGTTGGTCAGCATGTTGGAGCAGCGGTTGCCTGCTTTTGCCTCATAGCCAAAAAATGTTGTTTGTTCGATCTGTGGTTTCTTTCTCCACACGTACTGTACGTCCCAAAAACACGATTCGATTCATCGTCGACTCGAAATTGACCGTAGGTGTTTGAAAGGTTTGTGCGAACTGGTCGAGGTCCTAAACCCTGTCATAGCTGCCGGGGTTTGGACCTAGCCTCTACCGTGGTCCGATCCGTAGAATTTCTCTGACTTTGAGGTTAAATCAGTCTTTCTGGGGGGGGTTTTTCCGCTCAGACACCGGAGGATTTATTAACACAGAGCCTGCGGAGGCACTGTTGGTACGAGCAGATGAGAGAAATACGACTTTTTTTTTTTTTTTTTACAATGTTTTCTTTCTGTTCCCACGGTGTTGACGTTGGTCCGTGTGTGAATTCTCCACTCGTTGCGTAGCATTTTTCTCAGGAAGGTTTTTCTGAAAATGTGAATCCAGACAAATTCATTACCGAACGTCAGACTGCGTAATTACAAAAGCAAACAACGGATACTTGGCTTCGGAGCGCGGATATTTCAGCACCAAGGTCAGGGGTTTGTTTTTGAAACGTCCTCAGAGCGGAGCTGCGCGGAGCCGGACTCACGTGGAGGAATGGAGATTCATGAGTGTTTAATGAAAACATTCACACGAAAACAAAGGAAGATCAACGTTGTAGTTTCGCCCGCTTTTATCCACCTGTCTGTTCCAGTGCGGAGACAACGTTGTGTTTAAACGCAGGTCCGATCTTTAGCTTACTTTTGATTCAAACTGTCGTCACCAACCTGTCCAAAAACATCACTGAATATCTTTTCCGATATCGGCTACGGAGCCTGATCGGGTATCGGAAAATTAATCTTAGGTAAATTGATGACGATCTATTAATACAAATTCTACTTTTAAGATAACGGTGACACGAGTGATTCATTATTTCTTATCAGTCATTTACACTAAGTTATCGTGGTTCCATAGTGTAGCTGTTAGCACGCCTGTCCCATAGAGTCCTGGGTTCGATTCCCAGAGGAACCACATCCTTGATACCGTTAGTCCTCCTCTGTAAGTCGCTTTGGATAAAAGCATCTGATAAATACATAAATGTAATTTTTTTTTTTCAGTGAAAAGCGTGCACAGGCAGCTGGTTGGTCAAAACAGCCAATAGGAGAGCTCTATTACTTTGAGCTGCTCTGTGATTGGATAAAACACATCTGCAGTGTTCAAATCCTCCGATTGACAATATGATTTTTTTTAATGTATTGATTATTGATTTGTATTGTATATAATGATACAAATGACACCAGGCTGCATGTGTAGCTAAAACCACCCGCCCTAGTGGTCACTGTGAAGCACAGCAGATTCAGACGATGTCCTGAATTTACATACCTGAATTTATTTTTTCTGTGTGCATGTGTTTGTGCAGCGCGAGCAGGAAAACACTATGCTGCACCTAAAGAAACAACAGGCGGAGCTAGAGGCCATGAGGCAGCGTTACCTGGCAACGGGAGAAAAAGAGGCGGGGCAACAAGACAAGCAGGAATTGGACGAAATAAGGAATGAACTCAACAGGTGAAAGAAATTTTCTTTCTGCCAATCAGCTTTGAGTTTATACAGTATGTATGTATATATGTATCTATTTGTATGAATATATGTGTATATACAGTATATATGTATGTATAAATGTATATATGTATGTGTATATATGTGCACATATGTATGTATATATGCATGTATATATGTATGTATATACATATATACATGCATATACGTGTATATATATATATACTGTATATATATATATACTGTATATATATATATATATATATATATACAGTATATATATATATACACATACAGTATATATATATATATATATATATACTGTATGTGTATATATATATATACACACATGTATGTATATATATATGTATATATGTACAGTAGTCCCTGTCCTAGGGCATTAGTTGCGTTCCAAGACCCACCCACTCGTTATTTTCCCCCCAGATTAAAGCAGCAGGACAGATGTGTCGCTGCCTCTGCCGTGTCCGTCCCCGTCCCCCACCTGAACGAGAGCGCCGAGGACCAGCTGAGCCGTTTACTGGAGGAGAGGGACACTCTGCTGAGGACGGGGGTTTACACCCACCAGGACAGGATCATCATTGACCTCAACAAACAGATCCAGGAGGTGATGGTCGGTCCAGACAAACTCTGAGTCACAGACTCTCCAGGTCCTGGTCCTCCAGTGGAACCTTCAGGTGAAACTGTGATGTCATAGTTCAACAAGAAAGACATCTGACCTCAGATCAGGTCTGTACTTCCGGTCCGTCTTAGTGTTTCCAGAAGATGTGGACACTTCAAAATTATGTCAGTTTTTTTGTTTGTTTTTTTTTAAATCTTTTTTAACCAGAGATTAATTAAAAAAGATTAATTGAAAAAAAAATGAATTTACAAAATATAATTTAATGAAATTTAACCTTTGAAATAAAAACAACACTGATGACATTTTAAATATTCAAACGTTGTTGTTTTCACCTTAACTCTGACCAAAGAAATGGCATAAATATTTCATCTATTTTTAGAAAACTAAATAAATGAAAATCAAATAATTAGTCAAACACAAAAACAAGTTATTTTACAATTTTTTCTTAATAAATATTTAAATATCCGACTCTGAAGAGGAACAATTTTTAACAAAATATCTTCTAAGTTAAATGACCTAAACGTATATGAAATATGCGATAAAACTAAAATTACGTAGAGACGATTGTCAATATCACCTGTTACATTTTTCTTTCTGAATTTTTCTTTCTTTTATATGTATATTTATATATTTGTTTCATTATTTTTGGATTGGACCTGATGTAAATATGAATGAGAGCAGATAGTAATAAAGTAAATATAGGTAAAATATAACGTTTTTATATTTTTATATTGTTTTTCGTGTCCTTGTATAGTTTAGCAATGTTAGCATTGGACTTAATAAAAATATGAACCTATTATTTTTCTTCTGACTGATCATGTGATTTTTTTTTTCCAGCCTGTGTTGATGCAAAATCCTAACAATGTTTTAAATCCTTCAGACTCAAAATTGATCTGTGAAAAGCCGGTGGTATGTTGTACTTGACAGCAGGTGGCGCTGCAGCGTCAGCTAAATCCCATCAGAGCCGCTGTAAGATTTTATTTTAAGAAATTATTTTGTTCATTAACTGTGACTGCGATCTGTTCATGTGGAATAAATTATTTTAGACTGAACTGGCTGTTTGTTTTTAAACTGATGGAGAAAATATTAATTTAATTATAATAACGAATTATTTTTCACTGCAAAACCTACATTTAATCTGATTCATTTTTTAAAATATAAAAAGTACAACAGTAGTACCTTGTGTATGTTACTTCTGCGTTTACACTTAGATTAGAATTTAGCGTAAAAATAGACGATTATCTGGTTTTCAGTTTAAATTATGGAATAAATATATTTACTGACAATAAGGAAAATATTTTTGTTTTTCCGCAGCATTGGTGAAGTAATGTTTAAAGCAGTCGTACAGCGACAGCGAGTAACACAGAAATATAAATATATATTTAAACAAATGTATAAATAAATAAATAAATATAAATATATATTTATAACAGCTGTTATTATTTTTAATTATACAATAAAAATAATGATTTATGAAATATTCCACACGTTGTTTAAGAGTATTTGATTTTACAAAAAGTTATGAATACCAGGTTTTAATGTTTTTAACAGAAATAAAAATCAATCTCCATCAAATAGGATTTAATAATCACCAACTATAATATATATAAATGTATATGGTATAGTGCTTTAAATATATATATATGTATATATATATATATATACATATATATATATATATAAAACGTCTTAATATGATTTCAATGTAACGTAAAATGGTGATAATATATGTTTAAATTTGCCTTTTTTTTACGTCGACACTGTGTGAGATGGGGGTTTGAGGTTCGATATTTATTTTGGAGTTTGGATTAGAATTAAGATAAGAATTTAGATCAAGTGTTGTGGAGTGTTTGGAAAAAAAACCCCACCCAACTCTTATCTAACTTTAATGTATTTACTTATTGGATTTGAATTCTAATCCTAACTCTGAGCTCAATCTTAACCTCAGATTATCTTCTCACTCAGTGAAGACCTGAAAAATGTATAGGGGTACTCCCCACCACCAGTTAGAACTGAAGGAGCCTCTTGGATGAGAGGTAAAACGTCTTCTTTGAGAAAAATTCACAACAGAACTCTTCAACCTTGACCATGACCTGGGTGACTGTGAATCGTCATAGACGTTCCTGAACAAATGTCCGAAAATAAAAGTTTCTCAAAAATGACTAAAAATACACTTATTTGCCTTAAAATACTTAGCTAAGTCAATTTGTGTGGTTAAAATTCTGAAAAAATATACTTTTTTGGTACGTCAACTTTTGATCACAGATCCTTAACAAAACCACAGTTCCTGAACAAAACTCCAAAAATTAAAGTTTCTCAAAAATGACTAAAAATGGCCTAATTTGCCTTAAAATAAAAATGATGAAAATGGAGGAAAAATATTTTGGCTCTCGGCTGGAGAAGGAAAAAAGATTATAGACAAAGTGCGTTTCAGAATATCTGTAAAAAAAAAAAATTATAAACAGGTAAATATTCTCAAACAATGTGGCCTGTCTAAATGTTGAGTTTCCAGAATTTCTTTAATTAAAAAACTCATATTTTAGGCAAATTGTGTGCATTATTAATCATCAAGTTTTTTTTTTAACTTTGATCAGTTGTTGACCTTCAAAATACCCCCAAATTTTCTGAATTTTAGGCACAAATTACCACGTAGCTACATATTTGTACATGCATTATCATTTTTACATCCAGATATTTTTGATGTGTTAAATGTAAAAGACAGTGTGAAGATCAGGATGTAAACCATTTATCCAGGTCCATAACTGGAGTGACTGGAAGGAATGTTTTGTTTTTTGGTGGAATTTCCATATTTGGCAGCAGTCATTGATATTAAGTAGGTGAAAGGTCAATCTCTCAAAACCAATTAGACACAAAGATGTTTTTTTAAAAATTTAATTTCAAACACATTTGAACTGAAAAGTGGGAAAATCTCTCAGACTAATATCTAAATACAGTATGTTTATTCTTATCACCTGTCATTTTCTATGACACGTCATCTTATTTAAACTCATAAACAGAAATACAACGGGAGGAGGGTAAACTGACGTCTGATTGGGCGATCACTTGTCTGGCGTCGGGTTTCAAACTCTGGTTCCCACAGTGGGGTAAAAAAAATCATCTGATGGATGTTAGAAAACTCTGACCGTGTTTGTTTTAGTGAATTTGACAAAACCTCACAGGAATAATCTCTGAAATCAGACCAAGTGGAATGTCCAGTCTGTGTTTTCAGTCTGACGACAGGGGAGGTCAAGGCTGTGTGTGTGTGTGTGTGTGTGTGTGTGTGTTATGATTAGCACTAAGTAGAAGCAGCTGTTAAACTGATCAGTGTCAGCTACCTGGAAATGAAGAAATTACAGTTTTATAGGCCTAATCCTAACCCTAATCCTAATCCTAATCCTAAAATTAAGCGACCATAACCAAAACCTACCCTAACTAATCTGCAGAGGTCGAAAAAGTACTAAAGAAATGTAATTAAGTAAAAGTATCCTTAATTTCCTTAATTTTTTCTCATGTAAAAGTAACAGTATCCAAGTAACAAAATCCACTCGAGAAGTAAAGAAATTACCTTAGATAAAAGTTACTAAGATACTTTTATTGCGTTCCAAGACCCAGTGCGAAATCTGAAAAAACGCAAATTAGAGGTAGAGATAGCTATTATTATTTACGTATATATTTACTCCCCCGTTATCAACCCTCCCTATACTGTATTACGACAGACAAGGGCAGATGCTGAGAGAGGCTACGATCCATGAGCCAATCAGCGTGAGGAGCAGAGGAGCATGCTCAATTAGCCAATAACACACCGAGTACGCATTGTATTAGCCAATAATATGCCGTGTACGATCTCGTCTAGGTAAACAAAGCTATCAGCGATTGTTCGCAAATGTGCTTATCTCAATTTCAAACATTTCGCATGTTTAATTATTTTATAATGTCTTTTAGTTTATTTTTTCGCGGTATAGCGGAAGTTTTGCGACAACCTGAAGTGCCGCCCTCCATATTTAACACCTTCATGATATCCCTTTTTATCATTTTAACGTCACATCTCGTGCGAATTAAGTAAAAATGCGAAACCTAGCTGTGATTTTGAGGGACCGTACAACGGTCCATAGTCTGACTGTGCTGCGGGGCCGCTCTACGTCACTGAAACGTAAGCTAACGGGGCGGATGCTAAGCTAAGCGGAAATAGTCGCTATTATGAAGCACCTTTTCTATTTAACGGACGACGGTTTTAAGCAAAAAAGTAAACAATAACATTTGGGAAACACAAGTGAAAGCACAGACACTCTACTTACCGACACAAAATTTCGCGGGCTTCACGTGGAAGGTTCCAGAAGGACAGCTTCGTCCGCCGGGGGCAGACACGTTATACTGCGCATGATAACGTTATTGACTCGTTCGCTGCCTGAGATACGGCCAAGGATTTCCTTCTCTCCTCGTGTCCTCCGCTCCACCGGGGCTTTGTGCTCGATAATCCTCAACCTCCGTTTCCTCTTCGGCACCAGCAGCCATCATCCAACGACGGGATAGAGTCTGTCAACTTGTTTTTCTCCGCATTTTTTAAAAATGTAGCGAAGTAAAATACTTGAGTCAAAATGTACTTAGGTAAAATTAAAAGTCCCATAAACTAATTATAAATTACAAATAACTCACAAATTTGCAAAGATCTTTACTTTCCACCTCTGCTAATTCAACAGCGAACGAGCCGCCATTTACTGACCCGTGACGTCACACCAGGACCGTCACATATAAAGTACCTAACTCGCCACAATTCTCAGAAAAATATGAAAGATTTGTTCATTATGAACTCACGAATCACTCTTTGCGAACTAATCTTTCGCCGTGAACGAAACTTTCGCTGTGAACGAATCTTTCGCCGTGAACGAATCACTCTCTGTGAACTAATCGTTCGCATCGTTATCTTGTTTTTCTCCGCATTTAATTTTTTACTCATTAACGGGTTCTTTTTTAAAATGTAGCGAAGTAAAATACTTGAGTCAAAATATACTTAGGTAAAAGTCCCATAAACTAATTATAAATGACAAATAACTCACAAATTCGCAAAGTTCTTTACTTTCCACCTCTGCTAATCTGACAGCGAATGAGCCGCCATTTTACTGGCCCGTGACGTCACACCATGACCGTCATAATATATCAACAAATTCGGAAGACAAAAAAAGGAGAAACAGAGTCCGGAGAGGAGACGGAGAGAAGCTGAAAACTCCATTAATAAATCGAACGTACACCTTCGTTAACGGCAGCTGATTCTTCTTCACCAAACGACTGCGTAATATTTGTCAACCGTGTTCAAACAGTGACTTCCTGTTTCCATTTTCACATTAGTATAAAGTTATTCCACCTCAGTCTTTCTTGGTTCCTTTATACAAAAAAACAAAAAAACTCATCATTTGTACCGTTATATACAGCACTGATTCACTTTGCATTTTTGACATAAAAAAAAAGTTGCTGGATTTTCAGCATCATAAACCTGTCTGTTTGATGGATTTATTCAGAATCAGAATCAGGAAAAAAAAAAGGTAAAACAAAAAACAAAGCAATAATTTAATCAGACAATATCACCGTTTAAGGAACACGTCATGACATGAAAACGTGTCACATGATCCCAGGCTGTGTTCGTCCATTCACAGAAAACTATATTAAGAAGTGACTGCTGCGATGTGAATGTAGTTCCACGTTTATACATTCACTACGACCGCAGATATTTAAATTTGGTTTCAGCTTTTGTTGTTGCCACTCCCTCCGTCAGCCGTACATTTAAATGTGACTTCTAATCCGGATCTTCTATTTCCTGTTTTTGATTTTTAGAATTGTGAGTCAAAATGTACTCAGACAGACAACTGTTTCCAAAAGTGATGGAAAGATGGACATTACAGCTTATGTACAGGTTCTGAGACAGATGTCACTGTCTCTGGATCAGATGTGTTTTGTAGTTATAATAATAATAATAATAATTTAAACTTTATTGATTCCACACTTGGGAAAGTCTTGTGTTAAGATCTGATGCAACAGGCTGCCCCCTGCAGGCAGGCAACAAGTACGTTGTTCCTCTGGGAATCGAACCCAGGACTTCTCTGCTCTGCTTCCGAGGCAGGCGTGCTAACCGCTAATCTACAGCTTTGTCAAATCCGAGCAGGTTTTTTATTTTATAAATTTAATTTAACCTGATCAGAAATGTGTCTCAGAACTTTCCGACCAACTTTACTTCCTGCCAAACTCTGATATTTTACATGGCAGCAAAGCAGAGCCGAGAATCTTTGGACGAAACACGTGGAGGTTTTGGTCGCCACGGTGACAGGGTACAACGTCAGTCACACAGACACGAGACAGACAAGGTCGTGACCTCTGCTCCTCTCCGTACAGATGTCTCAGTTACGTCGGTGTTGATCGTTGGGAGGAGAAATGACACGTTGTTGTTGTTGTTGTTGTGGTTTTTAAAGCTTTTTTTTTCAAATTTTCAGGCACAAAATCCTTTGGTGAAACTGAACTCCTTTCCCTTCTTGATGTTTATTGCACACAGCTATTTACACATCCAACAAATCCATGGAAAAAAAAGTTCAATGGCAACAACAAAAAAATAATCAGAGAAACTATCAAATATCAAACTGGACTGTAAATAAAGACGGTTCACATTCTGGCTTGAACATAAAATGTAAAAATGTAGTAGTTTATATACATATATGTGAATATATATGTATATACTGTATATACATATACATGTATATGTATATACAGTATATACATATATATTCACATATATGTATATACACACATATATATATACACATACATAATTATAAGTATTTGGTTCCTCTAGGAATCAAACCTAGGACTACATGCGCTCGCCGGCAGATATGCTAACCGCAACACGGAACCATGACCCTTGTGTTAACAGCAAATCTGCTGAGCCTTGCACACGTGAAAATAAATTTATACGCATGTATACGTATAAATATAAATATATGTTAATAAATATTAACATATATATGTATTGTATACATATATATTTATATATAGATATATATTTATATATACATATGCATACATACATATGTATACACTGTATATATATGTGTATATATATATATATATACACACGTCAGCCATCTTTGTTTACAGTCAACAGTTTTTTTCATATAAAAAAATCTCTTCATTTTTATCTGTTTTATTCCCACATTTCTGTGGTCGACGTCTGTGGTTGGACGTCTGTGGTTGGACGTCTATGGTTGGACGTCTGTGGTTGGACCGAGTGACTCGGTTTTTGTTTCTATAAGAAATGACTCCACGTCCCATCGTCCTACCGTTACGTGTCTGTCGCTCACACATCAAAGCTGGAAAATTAAATAACCGACATTTTTAAAAACCAAAAGTGCTGGACGTCTGATATGAGTAAGAAGATAAATAGAATTTACGTTTCTTTTCAAGGTTCTTTTTTGGTATAATGTTTTTGGGTTTGTCTTTTTTTTTGTTGTTTTTTTTACAGTACATACTTTTTCTCCTCATGTGCTCCTATGTTCTTTGTGTGGTGAGTGTTGTCGTTGTGCATTCTCAGTCTGTTCACTTTGGTGGCAGCCTCCTTTGGCATCGCTGCTGCTGAGGAAAATAAAAAATAAAAAAAAATAATAATAATAACAAGAAGAAACCGGGAAGTAAAGCTACAGACAGACCAGAGTCTGACGGATTTTTTTTGGCATTTCATTGTTTTTGTCCCGGTTTCAACAAAATGTTTTCTTTGGAAGGAATAAATCTACGGAATTCCAAAAAGTCTCCAATAAATAT